AAAGAGGAAAATTTCAAAATCTGCCAGGTTGGCGAGAAGAAATGTTATTCTTTCAAAGAATTGAAAATTAGATTAATGGCTGACTTCTCAATGAAACAATGGAGGCTGTAAGACAATGGAATGATACCTTCAGAGTATGAGAGTAAATAACAGTCTAGAATTTTACAACCTGAAAAAGGCTGGGTGTGGTGTCTCACATGTATCCCAGCACTTTAGAAGGCTGAGGTGGAAGGATTGCTTGAGCCTAGGAGTTCAAGATCAGCCTGGGCAACATAGTGAGACAACATCTCTTCAAAAAATAAAAAAATAAAAAATTAGTTGGATGTGGTGACATATGCCTGTAATCCTAGCTACTCAGGAGGCTAAGGCAGGAGGATTGCTTGAACCTAGGAGTTTGAGGTTACAGCGCTGTGATCATGCCACTGCAGTTCGGTCTGGGTGACGGAGCTCTCTACAAAAGGAAACCCAACCTCTTCCCCAACAAACCTGAGAGAATATCCATTATGAATAAAGATGAAATACAAATGTTTCAAACTTAACAGTTTTTCAGTTGTGCTAGTCACTCTAAAATTGCTCCAAAGACATAGCTAGTGACTGCCATGTTGGCCAACACAGATAAAGAACACTTTCACGATATTAGAAAGGACAGGTATTAAGAAAATACAAGAGGATATTTGGAACAACATTCTACTCCCACCATGAAATGTTAGATGAAATTGATAAATTCCTATAGAAATACAAATTAATAAAATTGATTCAAGAAGAAATTTTGAAGATATGAATTATCTTATCTGTTTACAAGTTTTAGTTTTTTTCTTCTGATGCCTTTCTTTGGCTATGGTGTCAAGGGAATACTGTCATAACAGAATGAGTTCTCTGTTTTCTGGAAGAATTGTAAAGGATTTGATAATATTTTTTTCTTTCGATGTTTGGTAGAATACACCAGTGAAGATATTTGAGCCTGAAGTTTTCTTTATTGGAAGATTTTAATGTAATAATTCAATTTATTTACTTGTTATATGTCTATTCAGATTTTCTACTTTTTTTTTTTTTTTTTGAGACAGGATCTCACTCTGTCACTTGGACTGGAGTTCAGTGGTGTAATCGCAGCTCACCACAGCTTTGATCTCCCAGGCTTAGGTCATCCTCCCACCTCAGCCACCAGAGTAGCTGGGACTACAGGTGCATACCACCATACCCATCTAATTTTTTGTACTTTTTTTTTTTTTTTAATAGGGTTGGAGTTTTGCCATATTGCTGCGGCTGTTCTCAAACTCCTGGGTTCAAGCAATCTGCCTGTCTTGGCCTCTGAAAGTGCTGGGATTACAGGTGTGAGCCACTGCACCTGGCCAAATTTTCCATTTCTTTTTGACTAAGTTTTAGTAATTTTTGTTCCTGGGAATTTGTCCGTTTTTTCTAAGTTTATTGTATTCCTTTATAATCCTTTTAATTTCTGTAAGGTTTATAGAGATGTCCTCTCTTTCATTCCTATTCTGTGGTCACCCTGTGGAGGTAGAAAGTAACCCTCCCAATTAACAGGTAGGATGTCTATGCTGGAAGCACTTCACAAGCCAACAAAATTTGAGAGAAATTTTATTATTCACCCAAGAGACTTCTGGGGATGGTAGAGTTAGTACAAGTGAGTCTGGCCTGCCTTGGGTTAGACAGAGGGAGTGGGTTATGCCTTTATAATGCCTAGGGTGTTGGGGAGATCCCATGTGCAGGCTGAGGATCAGCAAAACTTGAATTTTCCATGGGGGCCAAAGGCAAGGCACATGTGGACTTTCTTATTAGCCTGCTCAGTTGTGGGTTCAAAAGGGGAAAAGTGAGGTGAGGCCTAACATAAGTCAGTGGTCAGACATCAAAAATTTAAAAAGTGGAGTGAGACTCCTTATTACAGTTCTTGACTTTGGAAGTAAAAGAAAATTTCCTTGTTCTTTCTTTTCTTCAGATTGTATAACCTTAATTGATCTACCTTCAAATTTATTGCTTATTTCTTCTGCCAGCTTAATTCTCCTCTTGAGCTTCTCTAGTGAATTTTTCATTTCAGTTGTTGTCTTTCCACTTGAAATTTCCATTTGGCTCTTTTTTATAATTTCTTAGTTAATATTCTCTGTTTGCTGAGTCATTGTCAACATAGTTTCCTTTATTTTAAAAGTATTTTCTTTTAGTTCTTTGAACATATTTATAATAGCTGCTTTGAAGTCTTTATTGGCTGACTTCAAAATCTAGGCTCCCCTAGAGAGAGTTTTTGTTGAAACTGTCCCCCTTCCATGTATGGGTCACGCTTTTCTGTTTCTTTGCATATCTTATGAAAACTGGGTATTTTTGATAATATATTCTGTATTTTGATTCCCTTCTCCCCAGAGTTAGAGGTGGTTGCTCTTTTTGTTTATTTAGTGACTTGGCTGAACTAATTAATTCCATGGAGTCTGTTTCTCCATGGAGTGCGTGTGTGACTGCTGATGTCTCTGCTTAGCTCATCCTTTCTTGTTTTTATTTTTCAGTATGGCTGTCAAGTATTGGCCCCCTGGGTCAGCGTATCTTAGTGGCCAACCTATGATTGGTCAGAGGTCGTGTTTAAATTCCTTGAAACAATGAGCTTCCCTTTGTCATTGGTTTTTATGAGGCTTGGGGAATGCGTTCAAAGTTCAGAAAGTCTGCCTGGGTTTTACTTTCTCCATTTGCAAGGCCTCATCCTTTTCTAGGAATGAGCAGCTTGCTGTGGCCCTGTCATTTCTTTCTTCATGTGTGCAGTCTTGTGCATGTGCACAGTCTTCCAGACCAGCAGGAAAAAAGATTTTTATCAAGGCCCAGTTTGGCTGTCTCATTCCTTAGTTCTCCATGTTAAATTTCTGGTTGGTCTGCTGATCTGTTGCTTGCGCTAACTGGTATTGCAAACTCAAATTAGCTGTAATATTGGCTTTCCCTCCTTTTTTGCTGTTGAAATCACTTTTTGAGAATACCTATGGGCATGGAATTCTTCTCCAAATTAATTTAGCTCCCTCTGGCAGTGGAGCCTCCTGTCATCACAGCTTGTCCTACCCTGGTAGCTTCTGTACCAAGCAATTGGGAGCAAGTGTGGGATGATAGGAGCCCCAGGCTAAAACACCACACTCTTCACTGTTCTTACCAAGATTCAGTAGATTTTCTTGGACCAGCACTTCTCAAATTTGTTGTAATGTTTTTGATCAATATCAAGACTTTAAATAGTTTTAACAATGTTGTTAGTTTTATTGTTGCTTTAGGAGGTTAATATTTGTCAAACTCCTCATTCAGTAGTTCTTGATGTCCTTTCCCCTGCCCCCTCCCTTTCTCTCTGTCTTTCCTCTCTGGGTGTGTCTCCCTGTCTCTGTCTCTCATTTTTGAACATTTAAATTTCATTCAAACTGAAATTTATTTTGGAATATTTTATGAAGTAGGGATTTGTTGGTTATTTTTTAAAAATGGTGTTAAGTAGTGTCTTAATACTACTTGTTGATTAATCCATGTACTTCTTATTGATTTGTAATGTAAATGGTTTATTTTTCTAATCTCATTGAGATTTAATTTTGTCCTTTTTTTTTCTTAATCAATAGTCATCTTTTGCTTGTTTTTCCCATCTTTTGCTTTCCATTGGCTCATTTTTTTCTGCCTTTAAACCTGTCTTTGGACTTTATATCTTTGAGTTTCCTTTGCTACTCGGCTTCATACATTCCATTTGCTCTGATACTCGTAAGTACTAAGGCTAGGCTAAGACAAGTGAGATGCATAAGGCACAAAAGTTCTAGGAAGCTCTCACTCCTGGGTCCTGCAAGTGTGGGACTGGTACTCATAGAACTTTGCATTTTCAAATTTTGCACCCTAAGTGCCTGGCTTGCCCCATTGTAGTCCTGGCTCTGCTACTCATACTTCTCACTAGTATATATTTGTTGTAACCTGATTTCTGTCCCAAATAGGCTTCATTTATTCAAATTGTTGCGCTTTTGCTATGTACTGTGCATTGTGCTAGGTTTTGGGGAATACAAAGGATCTCAAGACACCATTTATTTCACCCAGAAGCTTTCTTCAGATTTGCCCTTATGAGGTCTAGTACCTTTTCTCCATTCCTCATCCTTCCTGCCTTCTTTTACTATGTGACATTATTGACCACTATTGCCTGTTCATGCTAATGCCAGCCCAGCTCTTAAGAATGTATGGCTATTTCCATGGTAGGACACCTTTTCTAGGGTCCAGTGGGCAGTTGGGCAGTGTATCAGTGGCCCTCATTCTGGAAGTTAGTAAGGGTTGGAAACTGGCCTGTGCTTTCAATGTGTCAGGGTAGGAGTGCCCAGGGACTTCTTCAGGCTTAATGGGCCTTTATAACTACGTCACAGGGAATAGAAGATTGCTTGTTTGTTCATTTTCTTTTATTTCTTTCTTTTCTTTCTTTCTTTCTTTTTTTTTTTTTGAGAAGAAGTTTTGTTCTTGTTGCCCAGGCTGGAGTGCAATGGCGTGATCTTGGCTCACTGCAACCTCTGCCTCCCAAGTTCAAGCAATTCTCCTGCCTTAGCCTCCTGAGTAGCTAGGATTACAGACATGCGCCACCACGCACGCTAATTTTGTATTTTTTTTTTAGTAGAGAGAGGTTTTCTCCATGTTGGTCAGGTTGGTCTCAAACTCCCTACCTTAGGTGATCTCCCCTCCGTGGCCTCGCAAAGTGCTAGGATTACAGGCGTGAGCCACTGCTCCTGGCCTGTTTGTTCATTTTTCTTTTTTGAGACAGAGTCTCACTCTGTCGCCCAGGCTGAAGTGCACACTCTCGGCTCACTGCAATCTCTGCCTCCTGGGTTCAAGCAATTCTTGTGCCTCAGCCTCGAGTAGCTGGGATTACAGGCGCATGCCACCTTGCCCAACTAATTTTTTGTATTTTTAGTAGACACGGGGTTTCGCCATGTTGCCCAGGCTGGTCTTGAACTGCTGAGCTCAGACAATCTGCCCGCCTTGGCCTCCCAAAGTGTTAGGACTACAGGCATCAGCCACCGCACCCAGCCATTGTTTGTTCATTTTCTACTTGGCATTTTATATACTCAGAATCTTTCCATCTGCTTCTAGTGCTTTGGTACCCAAATGTGGGCTTTGACTGCCTGCCTAGCTGTCTGGCTTATTCTTGCCAATTTTGTTTTCTGAGTCCTGCGTTCTTCCCCCATTCTTTGCTGACTTGTTTTTAATGTACTTTCCCGGTATGACCCTACTCTGTTTGGTGTTCTCACTGCTTGTTCATGAAAACAAACTCATCCATTCATTTATGGAGTGGCTTTTGAGCACCTATTCTATCCTAGGTGCTGTGGGAGCCACCAGAGTTACAATAACAAACCCAACCAAACATTCCTTGTCTCCCTAAGCTAGAGAGACGAGTTAGGTATTAATCACACAAACTGGGATAACTGCTGTGAAGGAAAGACACAGATGCAGCTGACCTAGGAACACTGGAATTGAAATCTGTCACCTCATCTCACTTACCTAGCAGCAGCTCGCCTTCATTTTGAACTTTTGCCTGAATCAGGATTGACATGTAGTGCCCCATTCTCAATTCCGGCTGTTGTTTTTGGGTTGTTGGCAGTTTGCTCCTGACCCCTTGCCCCAACCAAGGCTGCCATCGTTTGTATTCTTAGTCACTAGTGGGAGCATACCCTGATCATGGATCTGTCCTCATTTGGGAGCTCTTTTCTCTTTGTTTTCTTAACGCCTGCCTCTGTTGGTTCTTTTCCTACATCTTCGTTAGCTTCTTGGTTATATTTTCTACTTCTTTACATTTCCTAAAAGTTGCCCTAACCCAGATTTTGTCAGGGTAAGAGTGCCCAGAACTTCTATAGGGTTAATAGGCCTTCAAAATGATGTCACAGGGAAGGGAATGTTGCTTGTTCATTCCTTATCCTGTGCCCTCCTCTGTATCTGCTACCCTTTCTTGGCAATCTCATCTATTCTTGAACTCTCTGTGTTACCATCTTTATGCAAATGACTGGCCGATTTCTCTCTTTTGCTCCCGTTTTCAAGTATTTGGTGGATCGCTCCATGTGGAGGTATATAATACTCCAAGTAGAATTCATCATCTTCTCTAACTTTACCAACTCCCAGTCTCCTACCTAGAAATCTCACACAGACACTCCCACCTTGCTGACTTCCAGACCTGCCTGGTTGCTAGGGGGTGCTGCTTTGTCCTGTGTGATACCATGGTAAGGGCCTCTTCTTTTCAGTGTCCTGAACTCAAGTTTGGGTCTTCCGTTCCTTTCACCTGTCTGTTCTGATTTTCTCCTAAGATACATCTGCTACTAGTATCTGTCAACTCCAGATGACTTTGAGTCCTGTACCAGGTTTCCTGAAACAATTCTAATGTGTTGTTTTTCTCTTCTGCTCATTCATGCTTTGAAAACTCCCTAGTGCTTTTGAAAAACTGGCCTAGTTTTTTAGGCCTTCCAACTTGTTTTAATTTCCTTGCCACTGCCTCCCTTCATATAGGCTGGACCCTATCCAAATGGAATTAATTTTGTGAGAACTTGCCTGTATTTTCTGTTTGCGCCTCTATTTTCATTTCCTTTTGCCAACAGTATGCTTTCCTCACACTCTTAGTTCTTTAAAATCTTTCCTAAAGTACTCTCAGGTTTCCTGACTTGGAGACACTCTTTCTTTCCTATCATCTGTACATTTATCCACACTTTAAAAAACACAGTGCTTACCCCTTATCCTTCATTCTGTCTAGTGTAGTGCCTTGAAGAAATACGTGTGAAATTACTGAGTGCATAAATGCATTTCTGTATTAAACCCTCAGACAGTCTTGACTCCTCCATCTGCCTTTCCCATTCCCTTGCTGTTTATATAAGGCCATCTCTTTCTCTCCCTTCTTGCAATAGGATTGGCTTTATCTGTGAATCTCTTTATCTTGCCCTAAGTGGTCTGTTATCCTTTGTCTCCATTGCTTTTCTGCTGCTGAGTTAGTATTAATTTCAATTTAAAGAGAAATTACATCATTTTGGTGAAGGATGTGTGTGGGAAATATAGAGGAAATAGAAGCTAGTGTTCAGAATGACATCTTGATTCGTTTTGTGGGAACTCAGGCTGCCCACAAAAATTTCAAATATAGACTTGACTCCTGGGCTGGTGGCCATCAGAGACTAGAAAGTAGAAGTTGTGATGACATGTTCAGCATCCAGGTGGTAGGCTAGGGGCCAGCTGCGGGGACCCACATTCCAGCCTGCTGATCCTGGCAGCTGCTCTTATATTCCTTAGACACAGCTGTTTGAGCTTCTCATCAGACAACTGGTTTGAGGTGATGGCAGGTAAGAGTAGGGGAAGAGACGTCTAATTACAGTATTGCCATGTTTTGAAAGTGTGTGAATCATCTGGGGTTCCCTGCATAGTTTTGGACATCAAGTTGTGATAATGAATTAGGTTTTGCTGGTGGATTCTAAGAAATTAACTTGGTTTCATAGAGGTATATCATTTGTCCAGAGTTGGACTTAGTAAATGCCACATATTGAACCC